TGCTATCGAACAAGAAAACTATTAATTAATTATGGACAAAACTATAAATATTTTAATACTCAATGCATTATTACCAGAAAGTATATTTTAAACATTATTTATACGCCATACAGCAGCATACACCGTAAATAAACCCAGCATAATAATAGATGAGTACATACTACAGCCACAATAATGATCAATTAGAGAACCCTAACATTCACACACACAAAAACACACACACCACACACACACACACAGAACACACCCACTACTATTACAAAGATACATTTTTTTAGCAATTGGTTCCCTTAAGAGAGTCCTTTTTGGAGAACACACACCAAACCCGGAATAGAACTGAACAGCAGAAGCAAAGCAGTTAGGCCAAGAGCGCAACTTAGAGCTAACAATAAAGGGAAAAAACAGAGGAGCGGCATACATTATAATAACACAGATATCAAAAAACCCTAGGATTAATTATTGCCAGTTTCAAAGTGGGGCAAGCAGTGTACATTTTGTTTGTTTGCCAAAACTGGGCGTCGCTGATGGGCGACATAGGATCGAGGATGATGTAGAGATGGGAAAACATAAAACACACAAGGAGCAGTAAATATAGAAAAAGAGAACATTATAAGTGAACAGATAAACAAAGTTATAATTGCATTACATTATTATTAATAAATAATTATTATACACGAAAACTTATGCAAAAGTGTACTAGGTATATAAATAAAAGAACAACTGGCAAGTTAAACAAAACCAAACAATGAAAATAAATGAGAAAACAAAAAAAAACAAAAAGAAAAAATACAAACCACAAAGGTAAAATTACAGAAATGCAGAAATATATATTATATATACTTTATAGACATTTAAACATGAAAACAAAATGCAAGGAGAAACTAAAAAATAAAGTTGCAAATAATAAACTTTTACCATAAAAATATTACCCACACCTTGTTTCATTTTCACCAATAAGAGGTTCTACAACAATACTATGCATAGTACATAGTAGAACACAAGCGCCGAAATTGGTATCGGACTCTCTCTCTCTCTTTCACTTTTGCTATCTCTGTTCGGGAAAGGAAGGAATTCCTTTGTTGGTTAATGCGTGGAGGGGGTCTCTCGATTTTACTGAAACTGAGAGAGAAAGAGAGATTGGTAAAAGAGCTAGCACGACCACTAGCACTATTTTCTTCCCATTTGTATACCCGATACCCGAAAAAGATTATAAGGTCATAGATTTGTGGTAAAAGTTTATGTGTGTATGAAGCGTTTTCGACGTATGTATGTATGCATGTATATGTTTTGGATGCTGATCAATAGCCGAGTCGGTATAGCCACTTCTGTTTGTGCGTCGGTTTTGTTTGACGCTTAGTTCTCAGGGACTATTAGAGCTAGAGCAATATCCAGACTCCAGTGATATAGCGCTGTTACAAGTCTTTGCAAAATTTCGCCCTGCCCCGTTTCAATCCCACAAAGAACGAAAATCTGTGACTCCCACAATTTTGTTAAAAGCGCAGAATTTTTGAAGGCACAAATGAAAATTCAGTGACCACGAAACTCCTTCCACGCTCTTACTCATTCCCTCTCTTTCACACACTCTCTTATCGTGCAGTGTGCGCCCTCTGTCGGAGAGAAGTCATACTGACTGAGTATCGGGTTGAATAAAACAAACAAAACTAATTTCGTAATCCAAACTGAAAAAGGTTACAAAACTAAAATGGCAAAGAATATAGCAGATATACTGGCCCACGAGCCAGCTTATGAAGATAACCTCGCCAAGCCTGGGCTTTGGAGTTTGGAGGAGTCCATCCTCCAGACTGCTACCGAGCCTTCGTACGGCTCCCTGGTGGGCAACTAAACTTGAAAAGGTGCGTCTCTGTTTGATCCAGGACACCAAGGAGATACGCGATCCTGCGCAGAAGGGGAAGGGGGTCAAGAAAACACGATTAAGCAAGCCTCCTACTAGCCTGATGGAGGCCAATGGCATCGGTTCAAGTCCTTCCAGTTCAAGTCTAAATGCAAGTTCAACTCCCAAAGGGAGACAGAGTCCGGCGAAGAGACCCCATTAAAAGTAAACGAGCGGGAATCTTCTACTTGTATACCCGATTCTGTGCCAGTATATATGTACATATGTCTTACTATGATACTATGATTACTATGAACCTATACAATATATTTTATGCGTTATTATACATAAGCGCCGAAATTCTTTCTCTCTTTCTCTTTGCATTTTGTTATCTGTGTTCAAGGGAATTATAATTTTATATGGTTTCCATTTTTCCTCTACTGCTTATTTCCGCAATATCTGTCTCTTTCTTTTTCATTTCTCACTCAAAAACACCAGCTTTGTTGCTATCTCGCTCTCTTCCGCCAGAAAGTGCAATCTGCACGAAGAAGAGTGAGAGAGAGAGAGAGAGTATGCGCGAGGAATGGCGCGCGAAATAGCTTTCTTCATTCCAGCTATAATATTAGCCCGATTTGAACCAAAATTCTGCAATCTAGTAGACATGGGCATTTTTTATGATTCTGCATTTTCACGTATCTTAGAAATGGTTGATGCCAAAGAAATTCGCTCGTTGTGGTGGCGGTAGTTTGCGTAACGAAACTTTGAAATATATTTGTAACAGTTTGATAGCCCCGGAGTCTGAACACAACATTTGGTTGCTCTATAACTTATAGTCTCTGAGAACTAGGCGTCAAGCCAGCTATATCTACTCGGCCATTAATGCTGATCATGAATATATGTACTATATGGGGTCGGAAACGCTGCCTTCTCGGTGCTCTTTTTCGGATATCGGGCGTTAACTGTATGGTTAGTGGTATAATGATAACGCTGTAGCGGTCTGGCATGCCCGTTAAAAATCAAATTCTACCGTACTGGCTACACTGGAAGGCTGCCAGATATCTCGTTGGATTCGAATTGGAAATAAGTGCGATTTTTGAAACTGTCTCTCAGCATTCGTTCGGCCAACATTTGCATATTTGTTTGCCAAATCAGTCGCAATGCCGCCGCCGTCGCCGCGAATTCTACGCGCGTAGGCTCTGACGCCAATATACGTACAAGTATGAACTGGCGAGCCGATTAGTGACTGTAATTGTGACTGTTAAAGAAGTTTCCTCGAGGAAGATCTTACGAATTACAATGGGAAATTGCTGAGCTCGACACACAGAGGCATTGGGACAGAGCGACACGACCCATAGAACTGAATTTGCCATGTTTGCTGTGTGTGCTGTTTTCTTTGAACAAACCAATCTAGCGTGGGCGTCCGAAGTGGCAGTTATGGCCATAAATACAAATATGTACGTTCGCGTAAGCAGGTATTGAACAAAAATAAAAATTGCCATTGACTGTCGCTTAATAAACATGCTCGCAGATAGCAGCAGTCTAAGAGTCGCACAGTCGCTCAGCCGCAGCTGCTGCCAAATAGATGTGCAATATCCAAAGCTCCGAATACACCGTAGGTTGGAAGCCGCTGGCTGGTGATGTAAGCTCCGGTTCTGGCCGCCGTCTAACAGCCGTCTGTGCAGCTCCGGTGCTGCACTGCATTCTGTGTAGAATGTAAAGCCTCTTGCAGAGCAGTTACTCGAAAACTTGCCCACCCACAGCCACAGCCACAGTCACAGCCAGAGTCACAGCCACAGGCCAGGCCAAGCGTCATCGCTGCATAGTTCGACATGAAGTTTGAACTTGCACTCGATGCCACCAGTCGAAAATCGGTCGATGAGGAATGTGATAGACGCAGTGTACGACTATTGTGACAATAAATAAGGGGTAAGGTCTGTTATTGTCTATAGAAGACCAAATGAGTAGCTTGAAGAGCGCTGCCGCAAAAGGCGTCTTTTCGTTTATGGACTGTGGCAAACAAGTAAGGCTGTGCTTTGCATTTTTGATATCATGTATCTATTTTGAGTATCCCGCTGACTATCCCGCTGCGACTGCGCATTGAGAAAAGTGACATAGGCAGACCCCAAAACTACATATTATCATTACACTACCTACTCTCAACTCGCAGCGGATGCAGAGATGACCTATATTCCCATGCACATGGCCCAAAATAGAAGGCCTCAAACCATTGTCTATTTCGAGAGGTGCTCTTCCTTTCCTTCACCGAAATCATAATCCCATAGAGGCGCAAAGCAATACTTAGTTGCCCTAACCCAAATCGCCTAAGGTGCTATTAATAAAATGTCATCAAACTGAACGATCTCGCGTGTGCGTATTTATCAGCGGGAGAACTCAGCTCCCGCACCTTGGAGAACCATGGAGAGAGTGGACACGAGTGATCGACGGGGAGTACCCTCGCTTTGCTCAAAGATCTACCAAATATAGGCAATCCTATCAAAATAGCTTTCTTTGGTGCTGATCCAATTGCAGAACAGAACGTAAAGCGAACCAATTTCTATTCACCCTGATCTGTTGATAAAATAAACACGCATGATGCTGCGGGGCAAGAGGACTGGCCAGGGGCAGGGGCATGGGCAGGAGCAGAGGTAGGGACAGGGACAGGCGATTGCTCATGAATGAAAAACAGCGAAAAATACTTTTTCGAATTTATCTTCTCTCAGTATTTCTGCCGTGTTTTGCGTTGGTTTTTAGTGGATTGGATTGGATGTGTGTTTGCTGCTGATTGCTCGGGAGGGGTAGTTTATATGGCCGGCAACAAGTTGGATTTGTTCTAAAAATGAACACACGAAATATCTTCGTCTTTGGCGTTAAATACAGACAACGACATCGGTGTCGAGCACCAACAACGCATCTCTGTCCGAAGAGCTGAGAAGAGCAGAGCAGAGCAGAGCAGAGGAATTTGATTTTCATTTGATTTTCCTTCGGTCTCCCCGTCGTTCGCGCTATTTTCCTCTATTGTGTGTGGGGCGTGCTTGCCTTGCCTTGCCTTGCCGTGCCTTTCCGTGCTCTTCGCCGCGATCCATCTAAGGAGCATATTCTGAAAAAAAAACGATGATTTTCTTGACTTGACTTTCCCGCAAGTAGTCGCGTTTTGGATGTCACCACGATGTACACGCGCACAGTGGCGATGCTGCTCGACCGACTCCCTGTGGGAGAGTGAAGTGAACCATAGACTGCGGACTTGACTTGAACTGAACTGATACGAGGATTACCAATCAGTGGATAGAACTATAGACTGAGTCGAAGCGAAGTCTGAACAAAGCCTGAACGAAGCCCTCCCATATAGGATAACTTTTGTTAGCCCATTTTGTGTACAAAAACAATAACTTCAAAAGGTAAATCCATAGTTTACCCTCCACCCCACCCCTCCGATCTTATGATCTTTAGCTATAGTATGGATATAGATTGGTGGATTTCTGTGTCATCCCCCCCGTGAGTGCGGTTAGACCATTTATGGCCATGCTTTTCGACCAAGGGAATCGAATTTCATGCACAAAAACAACATTTCTGTTTTCTGAGAGAGATTCGCTGCGTTTCTGTGTGTATATGTTTGTGCGTACTAGTGTGTGTGCGAGAGAGATCAGCGCCACTTGCCAGTCCCCCTCAGGCATTTAAATAGAATTCCCGTGCTGGCCACCGAACGAGAGCAAACTCATCTCCGTGTCCGCATCCGTCCCCGGCCGCGTCTGCGTCTCCGTCTCCCTGTTCATCAGCCGGCGAGCACGATCCACACCAACAACAGAGGAAAACGTGTGTCTCTCATGAGAATTTCTACCCATGTACATACATATTTGATACATTTACGCATACATTCCGATCCCTCGTGACATATTTTCCATACGCAAACTCGATCTTAATCCCTCATCTCTCGCTCCTTATCCGCAGCAAGCATCAGGATGCAGGAACTAACGAGGGTCTGCGAACTGAACAACAACAGCATCCATAACAAGGTGAAGACAACGGCAACTCCCCCAGTCAGCAGTCTGGAGCCGCTGCTGCCCATCAAGCTGGAGCATGACCATGATCTGGAGTCCTGGCTGCCCGCAATAGATCACGGCCACCTGCGCCTAGACATGAACACCACCCGACTGCTACTGCAGGGATCCGACGATCCCTTGATTTCGCACGGCGCCTCCAACGATGCCCACGACGAGGACCATCCCTTCAAGACATTGCTGGCTCGCAAGACTGCCAGCCAGGAGCAGCAGCAGCAGCACCAGCAGCACAACGGCACCTGCAGCCCGCTCACCAAGCAGCAGCTAAAGGCCAACCTGTTGATGGGGAACCGGAAGATTCACAGGTCACAGGCTACGCCTCAGCTGGCCGCTCCGGAAGAGTCACAAATTCCACTCACACAAAAGACACCGCGACCTGCTCCAGGTCAAAACAGGTCCAAGAAGCGTACGAACTCCGCGGGAGCCATGAAGCTGCGCTTCCATCACCAGGCGCTGCCTGCGGAGTATGCGGCCCACTACGAGGCAACCCAGTGTCGGCCGCCGCCCAGACCCGTGCTGCCGCCGCCGCCTCCGCCTCCTAGCCAGGCCCACGAAAACGTGCGCAGCTGGCTGAGGAAGATAGCCGAGATCCAGCGCAGCGCAGAGCGCCAGCAACAGAAACAGGCATCCGCTAGGAAGGACTCGCCTGTAATGCGCCCTACACCCTCCGCCGCAGTGCCACCCCCCACAAAGGCGCCAGAGGTGACCCCATCCCCGAAGCGGGGTGCCCTAAAGTACGCAGATCTGCCCTACATGGGAGAGCTCACCCTCGACAACTACAAGCCACGACGCGGACGAAAACCGAAGAAGGCCGACATCTGCCACCTGATCTACAAGAACTACGGCACCATCGTGCCAGCTACAGCCACCGTGAGTCTGCCAGTGAATGCCCCTCTGCCGGAGACTACCGGGCATGGAGCCTCGTCCACGACAGTGATACCGGAGGAGCCCCTAAATCTCTGCCTGCGGGACCAGAGCAGTGATCGCTACTCCATCTCTAGTGGGGACAGCGACAAGCCAACGCCGACGACAACGACAGCCACCACAGACTGCGGAAGCTCGTCCCATCGAACGACGCCTCTGAGCGCAGTCAAACCCCTGACCTTGGAGCTGGTCGGGGGGCAGGAGCAGCCCCTGGTCGCCTCCAAGCTACTGTTGCAGCCTGTGGGGCTTTACTACCAGCAGCTGATGGAGTCCTGCAGCTTGGGAGGCTTGCCCGTGCCCGTCGAGACCATCGAAAAAGACAACCAGCTCTCGCTGAAGATACCCATACCGAGTGGGTTCTTTGCGAACGAGGCCATGCCCCTGCCCCTGGCTCTGCGGAAGAGGAAACGCTCTGCTATCTTTATACCGCCCATGCCTGCCGAGCACTCGTCGAGCCCCTCCACGGAGGTGAGCATCTGTAAGTTCAAGTTCACGGGCGGGGCCAAGCCAACTCTGCAAGAGAAGAAGATGCTGTCGGTGGACGCCGAGGGAAACTACCGGTACTACAACGGCACCGGCGACAAGACCTTGAGGGGCTACGAATTTATCTCCCGGGATCAGCAGCAACAGCAACAACAACATCAGCAGCAGCAACAACAGGGTCAAGCCCCAGGACAGGAGAAACTTTATGTGGACATACCACCACCTTCCACTGATCTCAGCCTGGAGCTTCTCCAAATACCACCCGAGTCGCCCACATCGTCGCTGCTCCTCTCCAGCGGCAATAGCCTCGTTCCCGCAATTTCACAACACAGTCCCGCCTCCAGCGTTCAGAGCCCCATGCTCGCCGCCATGTTTCCGAGCTTGCCGCCTGTCAAACCCTCGACTGAGAGCGAAAGGAAGCGTCGGAGCTCGCGTCGGTCCAAGCAGCGGGAGAAGCTGGAAAAGACATTCAAGGAGAAAGGCTTCCTCATCCAGACCCAGCAACTGCAATCTGCCGAGGGCGCAACCTACTGCAAGTTCAGGCAGCTAAAGAAGTTCACGCGCTACCTATTCCGAAACTGGAAGGATCACATACCAGATAGTGATCTCGTCAAGCACCAGAGCGGTGGCAGGGAAGACGACGGTGTCATCGACAGCCTGCTGGGGCTGGAGAGTTTAGCCAGCCCGACCACATGAAGCTGTCAATAGTTTCTGAAACACCACACAAAGCACTGCCAAAGATTTTTAGGTTTTTTTATGATTAAGTTATTTTCAACCGTGCTTATATAGTTGGCCTCCACGTCTTACACGGGCTAAAGCGATCTTTTTTTGTTAGGTTTAAGACGAAACGATTGCCGATTATTCCGTCCATGCAGGCTGCTCCACAAGATGGGGATCCATGATCTATAATCCACAGTGACGCCTCCTAGTCGTTCATTAGTTTTTTTTCTTAGCGCTTAACGATGTTATTGTTAACAAATAAAGTCAATGTTTAACCTTACGTGTTGAAGGAGCTCTGCGGCAGGGAGCCGGAGCGGAGGGCAAAACGATTGTGGCTCTTGTAAAAGGCATCGTATATTTGTATTGTACAAAATATGCGTTAATATATGTAAGTAAATGTGTTAGTACAAAAAAATAAACTCCAAAATGGGCAATAAGTCTCAAAGGGTAGGCCAAATAGCTTGGCTTTCTCTCAATGTCGTTTGAATGCCATTGCAAATACTTCTCGTTTTCATCTTGATGCTTAATTTCGAAGAATAGGCTTATGTTAGCTACAGAAAATATGTAGTATAAATTTCCAAAATGTTTCTGGTATGTTTAGGTCCGCAAAAAAAAGAATTTCGATTTCATCCGATTGGTGCTTGGAAGATTGGGCGTGCCCAGGTAAATTCTTGCTAATATTGTCGTGTTTGGTCGATTTGGTTGCTTGCTTGTTTCGGGGGCAGTACGTTTGCCTGGACCCTCTGACAGGGCTGGGCTTGAGCTTATAATTAGATTAACAATATTTGTAAATGAATTGTGCGTCTTCCGACACCAGCATTAGTTCGAGCTCATTGAGCTCTCGAGGTCCTTGACCGTCTCCGAGTTCGATGTCGCTGGCACCCTGGCGTTCATCGGGCACACGTACTCTGTCCAATCGACATCGCTCTGTCCCTTGGTGCTTTTGCGGCGCTTTAGCGAAAACTGCGTCCGTTTGACCGGCTTAAGCTTTGCCGTAATATTCAACGGCTGGTACCCAGGAGCTGACTCCGCATCTCTTTTGCTGAGGATGACCGGGCGACCTACTAGTTCCTTGAAGTGCATGGCCAAGTGACGACGCAGCAGCGACTTGCTCGGCGGTATCGAGAGCAAATCGGCAAGCAGATCTGCGTTGAATCGCGACTCGTACATCATCAGTGCCCCATGGACTCCGGCCCCTCGCAGATTTGGCGTATACTCCGACAGGTCGATGGTCTGTAGCCATCCCATTATACGATGCGCTGTCCACAGTTCCACGCTGTCCCTGTCCGGACTACTGCTGGATTCATCATCATTAGCTACCTTGGTCGAGCGTCGAATCAGGCTCTCGGCATTCCACGACATGCGGCGCATGCAGAGAATCCCGGACCTCAGCGAGGCTATGTGCAGACAGGAGCTGACATGCAGCTGCGACAGATCCTCGAGCGTCAGACGGTGCAGCATGCGACCATCGACTTTGGCCTGCATGAAATAGTCCTTGTATTGTGGCAGACCTATATCGTCCAACCAACGCAGCACCCAAGCCGTATCCAAGGTGGCCGCCTTCAGAGTGAGTTCGTCGTACTCCTTGCCAGTGATGTCGTCAATAGCCAGCAAGATTTTTTTTCGATGAAGCGGAAACTTTAGGTTCAGCTCCCTTTCAATGTCCACCGGCGAGGCAGTGAAGATTGATGTCGTTGGATTGGCCTTCAGCCATTTTCTGTGAATTGGAAAGTTGATTGGCACTCTTTTCATAAATATGACTTACTTACCGGCAATTGTCCTCGTAGCAAGCTAGACCGATGTGGCAGAGCCAGTTGCACACATCCTGGGATGTCCAGGAGCTCCAATGTTTTTCGTTGTCGCTGAACAAAGACGTTTGAGCACTCCATTCGATGCGTCCACCGGCCGTGGCCCGAGATCCGCCTCGCCGAAACTCGGGCTCAGCCTGCTCTAGGCCGGCCAACTCACAGTTGCTGCTATTGCTCCGTCGCAGCTTGCCTAGAATGTTGCGCAAGCCGCGGGCAGAGCGCTCCCGCAGCTTGGGCGATGGAGTAAACTGAAACTTGAAGCTGGACGTCATGGCTTCGTCCGTATGAGCACTATCATCGATTAGGATTTGTTCGTTCGATGCAAATGCCACATTCCGCTGCTTGCCACTGCTGTTCGCGTTGACATCCAGGGTGCGATTGTTGTTGTTGTTAGCCTGTTTACCATGGGATCTCGGCAGACTATGGAACTGCGGCCGTATCTGATGGCGCAGTGCCGAAGGCGGTGTTTTCGGTGAACCCATAAAGCCTTTCTGGTTTATACTACTCAAACTGCCATAGGGTAAACTAGTATTCATCGCAGACCCAGCTCCACCTCCATCGTTGGCTTGTTCCAGCGCTGTACGATGCAATTTCAGTTCACTTAAGGCACTCATCAGCTCAAGTTTCTGCGTCTCGAGAGCAGATCGGGATATCATCTGACGCTGCAGGAGCTCCTCTTTGTTGCACAGCTGTTGGGTCTTGTCTGTAATGAGACCTTCTAGCTCGATTATCTTATCCGCCTGCTCGGACACCCGCTCCGCCAACATTTGGTACTGCAAAGCCAGCCCCTCTTTGTCGCGCTGCAGGCGACGCATTCGCTCATCGAAGTCCTGGCGTGGTATATGTGTCTCTAGCCAGTCGCTGATAATAGCAGCCGTAACAGGATCTGGAGCCGGAGCAGCCAACCCCACCTACAACAAAAACAATTTGAGTGTCAAGCGGGTTCTTTCGTTGTGTGTGACTCACCTGTTGCAGTGCCAGGGCTAATGTTTTTGCTGTAGATAAAACATTGGTGGCTGAAATCAAGTTACGCTCACTTAGCGTCAGCGAAGCACCCACCCCACCGCCCGGCTGCCCAACCGTGGCCGCCGTACTCGATATAAGGCCATCCATTTGCTGTAATGCTGCCTCAAGCATTTTGCTGCCCTCGGTTGCCGTCGCCATGAAATCTAACTAAAGCCCTTGCTAATGCCTTGATGATCGATGTGGGAACGTATTCTGGGGCTAGTGCATGCTTACATAAGCACTTTATTATAGGCACGTCATTTTGCAGAATATTCGTAGACAATTTACATGTATAGTTATTAATTTTAGCACAAATTGGGAAAAAAAACTATCAAATAGATGGGGCGTCAGTGTGACCGCGGACTTATCGATAAAATATACCGTCTGATTTTAAAAATATACCGTAAATATACTGACGAATTCAAGTTCTATTTTACATATTCCTCGATTTTGATATTCCGTGGAATATTACTAGAAATCTAGATCTCGCAACCCTGCCCACCTATCTGTATCCAATTAATGAATCTATTTCTACAAGATTAACTACTTTTAAGTACTCGCATGTATTGTATTTTGACTAAAACACGGTTTACAAATTAATGTTGCCCGCAACGCATCGATATGTAAATCCGATCAGACGATTGCCTAGTGATGGGTTTATTGCAAACGCGAAGCCGATACTTATGTCAGACTTGCTACCGAAGAGAGAGAAAGCGCAAAATTAGTATGACGCATATATCTCTCTCGCTCTCTCTGCATTATTTTCCATAAGGCATCTGAGTTTTTGCAGTTAGTCAGTTATCAAAGGCTAATGTTATAAGGATATTAATAAAAAGAAACGATTTTCTGTTAAACTACTTTAATTCCATAAGTTTATATTTAAAATAGTTATGTCTAGAGAATAGTCCAAAGCGTAACCGTGCAAGGTTTTGACCCTTTTTTAAGGGACGATTTTCTTACTTGGGCCTGTCCATAAAGTTCAGGCACGCACATAAAGGCAATCTCAGTATGTTGTCACAGTAACATCGCTGTCAATATTCTATAGAAAATAAAGCTAGATGATTTAAAAGAATCTGAATAAAGCTATATCGCATGAATGAATCTTTTTATTTGAACATTTGATTCAAAAGCGAACATTCTTTTAAATCAGCAGCAATATCCTGAATTGCTGAATTCAGCTGAATGTTTGACTTTGAAAAAAGCTACATCTGACCAAAACTAGCTGGTTTACCTACACTGCAGCGCCCATCTCTAAGTGTTGTCTCAATAATAAAAACAGAAAGAAAAACACAAAAACTTAGAATTTATGAAATGAATCGTTTTGCTTATGTGGAGGCTCGTCTGAGTTCCAACGAAACGTTCGTCAGCCGCGACAGTAGAGTGAAAATCTTCGATGGGGACCAGAAAGTAAGTAAACGGCTCTGTAATTCCGGGCTTAGCTCATTTCTAATGGCATTTCCAGACAGACTTTGAGGAGGGCGAGGTGGTGCTGACAACACACAGACTGTTTTGGGGCCGTCCTGGAGAAATTGCCAGAGCCGCCGTAACCCTCTGTCTGCCACTAAGCTATGTGATATCGCTCGGGGAGGAAACGACAGCCTCGAATTTCTTTGGCCGCAAGACCCGCATAATATTGCACTTGCGTCCGCCTGGCCCTGACAAGATGCCTGGCCCCCTGGACACCAGTCGTGCAACGCACATCAAACTGTCTGGAAAGAATGGCCTAAGCATGGAGTTCCACAGCGCACTTCGGGAGACTCTTAATGCCCGCATCTGGGAGATCTCCCTCACCAGCGAGACCATCATCAAGGGAGTGGACAGAAGTCCGACGTCTGACCCGGTAAACGATAGATTGGCTCGTATTCAGAAGCGTACAGGCATCGGAGGCATTGAGCGGCACCTGGAGGCGAAAGCTAAGGCCACAGATGAGAACATCGCACTAGCCTTCCAGGACCTCAGTGTTCTCATGACCATGGCCAAGGATATGGTGGGCCTGTCCAAGACAATCAGCGGCAGAATACGCGAGCAAAAAGGCGAAATATCCGACGATGAGACGGTGCGTTTCAAATCCTACCTCATGAGCCTGGGAATTGATGATCCTGTGACGCGAGACAACTTTACCAGCAATTCGGCGTATTTTTCCAGCTTAGCACAACAAATTTGCCAGATGCTGATCGATCCTATTGAGGTGAGTGCTTCGAGCCTTAATTCAATTCATTTATTTACCCCGACATTTTTGTGCGTTAATTAGGAGCATGGAGGTATGATGTCCCTAGCAGATGTCTATTGCCGCGTGAACAGGGCTCGCGGCCTGGAACTGCTCTCGCCTGAGGACTTGCTGCATGCCTGTGAACAGCTGAGGGGTCCAATCCGATTGAGGAGCTTCCCCAGCGGCGCCAGGGTGCTGCAGCTGGAGTCGCACGACGATGACTTGATTGCCATTGACACCCTGGAGAAGGTGCAGGCAGCTGAATCTCTGGCCGTAGAGGAGCTGGCCAAGCAGCTGGGCATCTCTCTGCTGTTGGCCAAGGAGCGACTGCTGGTCACCGAGCGCCTGGGCAAGGTGTGTCGTGACGAGTCTATCGAAGGGCTCCGCTTCTATCCAAATCTGCTGCTGCAACGAGACTAAACGATCTGTGAATCTGTGCTTGTTACTAGATATTCTAAATAAATAATTCTTATACAATAGTAATCGAAACCGGTGTAAGCGTTTGCACGTTCATGGAATGAGAGAGTCCACTTGGATCTTATAGATTTCATTTCACACTTTATTGATTAACGGAGCTTTTTCTGTGACTTTGTCGACGCTTCATTAAGTATTTTTAATATTTCTGGTTTCGTCATAATTATTAATTATTTTTGTTTGGTTTTGTTTTGTTTTTTTCGTTAGTAGTTCTCGAGAGTTCTCATCGTAATCGGTTTAATGAAAATTTTCTACAGTCAGGTATTTTGATAAGCAGTTATTGAATTGAAATTACACATTTATATTAATAGTTGGTTTCATGTTTACATATACATATAAATAGCTTATGCTGTCGCTTAGATTGCTCCGCATTACATTAATAAATCTTTGAATTACGTTTCAATAACCATTTGATCAGACCACACGTATATCATTATCTTGTATATAGCTTTCGTACTCAGGTTTTTGGCCAGTTATTTGCTTTGCTTTGCTTTGATTCGCTTGACTAACATCATCCCAATCTACTCTGACTTCGTGAGGGTTCGTTTCGCTGTCGTCATTCATTCATTCGGTTTATGTAGTAGTACCATGATTTCTTTTGTTTTTATTCTTCTTAAATCACATTTATTAATTAATATTAACATTGAGTAAGTTATGCTTGAGTTTTGGGGTACGGATACGTTTACGCTTACGGGTAAGGGTATGGGTGTGGGTGTGGGTGTGGGCTGCCATATATGGGGTAAGGTTAATTTGTGTGTTGTGTTCGTTTTCGAATTATCAAGAAGTTAAGGTTTTTGTGGGTTGTACAGCAGAAGAAGCAAACAATGCTTAGCAATTACAGCACTGATGTAACATAATTAAAATCGTTGCTTAAATAAATAATTTCATTCTACAGAAACTGGCGTAGTTGAAAAAACAAATTGGCTTAGTGTAAGCGTTACTTTTTACACGTTACTCGTCACCCGCTCGTTCTGTAACTCTCTCCGCTCACGATTCTTCTTCTCGTGCTAGTCTCGTTGTACATTGCGCTATTACAAATAAATTGTTTAAATAAGTGATGACTTTTTGCATATATTTGTTTGTTTTTGCTTTTCGTTTTAATGTTTCTGCAATTGGAAGTACTAAATTGGTTGAGGCTACGACTTGTTCAATACAAACTAAAATGGGTTTTTTCTTTAGCGAACTTAAACTAAGCAATCGATTTAATAATTAGCAATAATAATAGTAATAGTACAATTTAATATGTATAATTATTCTTATGAACCCCTACACCGGTTCATATTTCATATTCTCTTGTAGCTAACGTAATCGTAATCGTAATCGTAATAATTAGAATTTCTTTACAATTAACTTACGTTTTTTGTTTGCTGTCTCCTTACTTCTCTTGTTATTGCTTTCTTTTGTTTTCAGTGATCCACCCCCTGCTTTACAATTTCAAATTAGCACGCTTAACGAGCTAGGCCTTAACGAATTGGAGCTGGGAGCCAAATGGACAATAGGTAGAATGGCGGTTGGATGCGCGGGAAAAGTTGAAACAATCTTCACATACTCGTATTTATAATATATATAATGTGTATATATGTACAACTAGATAAATATTATTAAGAGCTTTACACCTAATTCGTTTATGCCAAGGTGACACAATTAACACAAGCGCAGTCGGCAGACCTGGAGAGCTCAACCAAATTCAGTTCCAGTTGCCGCTAGCTCCAGCTCCTAACTAGGTTGCACATACTATGAGCTGCCATGCTATTGCCCATATACATACATATTTCACACTTACGATTACACATCAAAACATATATAGATATATGGGTATACAATGTACGATAGTGGTGATAGTTAGGAGGTAACCATAAGCTATAATATCATGCAAATACACAACGCGTAGCCTTATTACTTTCTCGCTCTCATCTTTCATCTCTCAGTCCTCTCATTCCTTACAGTCCTTACAGTCCTTACACAAATCTAATATTGTGCCGTTTTCTTTTCTTCATCGCCTTTACTTTGTCGCGTCGGTGGTGGAACGCCGTCGATTGACCGCCGCCTGTTGTTGCTGCTGCTGCTGTTGCTGCTTGGCCGCCGCCAGAGCCGTGAGTGTCCGCTGGGTTATGGCTCCCGTGGCAGTGGTGGCTCGTCCAGCGATTTGGATGTGCTGCAGCTGCTGTTGCTGCGGCACCTGCACCTGGCTGGGACTGGACAGTGTCTGTGACGAGACTGTGGCGGTGCTCTGCTGGTTGAGTATTCGATGTTGCTGTTGCAGCTGCAGTTGCTGCTGTTGCAGCTGCTGCATTGGCGCCTTCACAGTCTTTAGCTGCAGCTTCTGGCCAGACATAACAATGGGACCGCCACTACTGGTTACGACATTGGCAGCTACAAGGAAAAGGATTATAAATCGTTGCAGGTACTCGAAAAGTTAATTTCAATCACCATTCATCGGAGTAGTGGCTATCTTGAGTGTCGAGCCACCTATCTGGCGTTGAGTAGTGATAAGCTGTCTGCTGGTGGTTAATTGCTTGGCTCCAACCACCTGGACGTTCCGGGCCCGGGGCTGGATGGTGCCCACCAGCTGAATGGCAGCCGTGTTGCTGTTGCCCGACTGCTGCTGCTGTTGCTGCTGGATCGTCTGCTGGGCAACACCTACACCACCACCAACACTTGAGGTACGTATTGTTTGAGGATTTAGTTTCTGTACACCGGCACCGACTATTTGAGCTGTAAGCAGAGAGAGAGCAGAACGTGGGTGTGCGGGGAGATTTTTTGGTTGTTGTTTTAGGTTGCAATGAGAATTGTCAGAGGTCGACTGGAGGGGCCGCCAACTTGTAGGATATAGTACGAGTAGCATGGTTTTGAATTTGGGTTTGGGTTTAGAAAATGATCTCTCTAATCTCAAACTGATGGCATTTCGGGTTAAACACACACAAGACACATAAAACAGTTTAGTTGCATGAGGGCGGGATCGAAACGAGTTGTTAACGTTTTGGGTTTGGTTTGGATTGGTTTGTGTTGTACGAGAATGTGGTTTTGTTGTAAACGAGAAACGAAACAGAAACAGAAGAGAACAAAATTAAGCATGTTCAATCAAAAGAAAAAGAGTTAAATATAAATAATGCAGATATAAAGAAGATCGCAACAGGTAGATCGGTATCAGGAAAATCCTCTTCGGCCCGGCCGAGACGAGTTTGCAACTCTGCTGTGCGCTCCTCTGCTCCTCAGCTTGTCCTTTCACTCACCAATGGGAAGGGTCAGCATGGCCGTTGTTGCTCCTCCTCCTCCTCCACCGCCGCCGCTGCCGCCGCCACCGTTACCACTGCCGCTACCTCCGCCGCCGCCTGCGTTGTTCGTGATGACCACCGTCTGTGTGCCGCCCACTGTCGAGGGCAGACTGACTATCGTTCCCGTCGGCGGAGCGTGCTGCTGCTGTTGCTGCTGGTGTGACTGCGTCTGCAGCGTGATGGTGTGTGGCAGTTGTTGGTGCTGCTGGCTCGAGACGGGAACCGACACCAGAACACTCCTCTGTTGGCCCTGCGTCGTGCCCGCACCCGTTGCCGAGTTCCCCGACTGCTGCTGCTGTTGCTGCAAACTGTTGCCGGAGAACTGCAGCGAGATGGGCTGCGTGAAGCCGGGAATCTGCACTTGAAGGCCGGTAAAGTTGGCCATGGCACCCTGCAGCTGTGACAGATTGATGCCCTGCAGGTTTAGTGTGGCGGTGGTTTGTTGCTGTTGCGTCTGCTGCTGATGGTGCTGCTGGGGCGAGGCTGAGGGCTGCGGATGCGGACTAGACATGGGCGAGTGTATCGATGATGTAGCGGGAGAGTGCACGATGGTCTTCGTGATGAACTGCTGCGTCGCCGTCGGTTGCTGCGGCGACATATGGGGCATGGCCACGGCGGACACGTTGGAAGTAACATTGCTGAGACGCTCAAGCAAGGCCTGGTTCTGATGCGACTGCGAGGACTGCGAGTGATCCGAACCCGAGGGCGAGGGAGTGGCCGCATTTGTCAGCAGGGCGGAAAGAGCTCCCACCCCGCCGCTGCTACTGCTGCTCGACGCCAGGTTGTTGGGCACTGCGAACCCGCTGGCATTCGAGGCATTCGAATCGCTGCCTGGCGAGGGAGCGGCCATTCCCACTACAATAGCGTTGGGCGGTGCTGTGGTGCTGTCCCTTCTCAGAGTGTTCAGAATACGCTGCTGCACTGGCACCGTGGGACTCTGTATCCAGGCCGCAGCCGTCGCAGCGCTGTTGCCCGACGAGATCACCGTATAGCTTGTGGTGGGATTGGTCATTATGGCAGGCGGAGAGGCCAGCTGCGAGGCCAGCGCCGACATGGATACTCGCACCGTCTGGCCGCCGCCGTCTACTGTCTGCTGGTGCTGCGCCTGCGTGGGCGGATTGAGGTTGACGGATATCAGATTGCCTGCAGAGTTGGTCCGAAAGGTAGTGGTGGTGGTGCCACCGCCTCCTACGATCTTTCGGTTGACACCCAGCAGGTTCTGCAGCACCTCACTGGACTGCTGCTTCCGCTGGGCAGTCACCAGTGTGGGCGTACCGCGCGTTGTCTGCACATAGGTGGCTGTGGCTACATCAGAGGTGGCCGGAGCGGATTGCTGCTGCTGCTGCTGGTGTTGGACCAGAGTCAGCGTCTGCGGTTGCTGTTGGCCGGTGGAGGATGTGAACGTGCCACTGGCCACTGGTGTGCTGGTCATGGCAGCTGGGGCACTGTTGAGCAGGTTCAGAATTGAGGCATTGCTGGAGTTCTTCAGCGTGGCGGTGTTGCTTCCGTTGTTGTTATTGTTGCCGCCGCCGCCGCCCCCGCCACCACTGCCGCTGCCGGATGTTGTAATGTGATTGCTGTTTGTCGTGGTCCCGCCTGAAAGGATCACCAGGGGATCGATCAGTAACAAGTCTTAATGGGTCCCCTCCACTAGGAGGCTGTTTTTTCTTCTTACCGTGCTGCTGCTGCTGTTGCTGTTGGTACTGATTGGCGGAGATTATGATGCTGTTCATTATGGCATTGATTGCGGCCGAGTTGTTCATATTGTTATTACTGTTATTGTTGTTATTGTTATTACTGGAGGCAGTTGTCTGTTGTTGCTGTTGCTGCTGCTGCTGCTGTTGCTGCTGCTGCTGATGCTGCTGCTGCTGCTGTTGCTGCTGCTTTTGCATTAGCTGCTGAGCCTTCAGCTGCGATTGCTGTCGGAATGGATAGGAGAGAGTGAGAGTCAATGAAATCCTTTGCACATTGCATTTATTACTCACCAGAATTGGCACATTGGAGTTCAGCTGGGCACGCAGAGCAGAGTTGGTGCCAATGACCGATGGCCCCTTCACCTGCTGCTGCTGCTGCTGTTGAATGCTGGCCGGCTGAATGGTTATGCCTGAGTGTTGCAGGGCCTGGGTCAGCTGTGGCTGCTGCTGCTGGGGCTGCTGTTGCACCAGGACCAGGGAGCCATTGCTCAGGCTTACATGGTGGGTGGTTGTGGCAGAGTTGCTGCTTCCGGTGGCCAACTGTTGAAGCTGTATGTGCTGCTGCTGCTGCTGCGGCTGCTGTTGTTGCGGGACAATTTGTTGTGTGGCTGCCTGTTGCTGCGTTCCTTCAACGGTGTACGTTTGCTGTTGCTGTTGTTGTTGCTGTTGCTGCTGCTGTTGAGGTTGCTGCCTTATGTTTTGCTGCACGTTGATGACATTGCTGCCCCCTGCTAGATTAAGAGTCTTTTGGGTGATTTGTTGGCGAGGCTGGGCCACATGGTGCACAGTGGCAGACAATTGCTGTGGCTGTTGTTGTTGTTGCTGCTGAGGCTGTTGTTGTTGTTGTTGTTGCTGTTGTTGGTGCTGGGGATTGCCGACCACTACCACATGCTGCGGCTGTTGTTGTTGCTGCTGCTGTTGCTGCTGCTGCAATTGAGCTTGCCTCTGCTGCTGCTGTTGTTGCTGCTGCAGGAGGAGCCGCTGCTCGTTCGTCAGCCCCGTGTGGGTGACAATTGGCACATGTCCTGGTATCAAATGCGTTATCTTGACCGCCTTGCGCCCCTCCTCCGTGAAGATCTCGCGAAATTGCTGAATGTATCGATTGGCATGCACCCGAGTGCCCAGCGCGAAGCGGCAGGACTCCCCATTGCGCTCCCCCTCGCGAAAGTCCCGATCCACATACAGTTCGCCGAGGTATTCCGCATCGGAGGGACGCTGGTAGATGGATAGCTTGATGTGGTACAGCGCCCGCCGTCCCTCGTTGGCCTCCCGCTCAGTCTCCAGGACGTACTCCTCGATCAGTTGGGGCTGGAAGTTGTGGCGACAATTCGGCTGGCAGCCATCCTTGCAGGCCTCGCTGAACTCATTGAGGGGCTCGAAGGTCTTGGCATACTTTTCTACGCTGATGACGTGCTCGGGCACCTTGAGATTGGCGGGGTACTCCAAGCACGGAGGACGAATGGGCCGAATCACTTCGTGAGGCCGCCTGGGGACCTTTGAGGTAAAGGAGGAGAGCATGGCGCCCACCAGAGGATTGTTGGTGGGTGCCGTGGCCGGAGTAGCGTTGCCGCCAGCGCTACTGCTCCCCGTCCGGGGCCTCTGACGCAGTCGGGCCAGATAGTCGCACAGCTCCAGCCCATGGTGGTGGGTGAACTGGTCCAGCTTGCGCTTCCGATTGATGGCAGTCTGGGTGAACTTCTTCATCTGGCGGCGCAGTTCGTGCGAGTTGAAGAGCTGGCGCTGGTGCTGAGCATTGATGGCCTGCCGTCCTATGCTTGGATCCGGTTCCAGACACAACGGCTCCGCCGTGGCCAACACCAACTGGCTCTCCAGTGCAAGCTTATCCTCCGCCTGCAGTTGGCTGCCTATTTGCTGCACTTCCGCGAAGAGGGTGGCGTTCGTCGGCCTGAGCAGGATGTGCTTCATATCACAGATATTCGTTGAGGTGGCAAACGTCTGGCGGAAGTCGCGGATCTGGGCGATGACGCAGCCCGCGTAGAAAACGCTAGGCTTGGCATAGATCCGCGTTCCCTCTCCCCCATCCGACAGGCTGACTGTCTCCGCACAGAGCAGATCCATCAGAAACTCTGGCAGGATCTCGCGATCGATGCACTGCAACAGCAAATCGTTCTCGTACGGCCATCGAAGCACTTCAACCAGGCCATAGTCGTGCTTCGACTCTGCCTTGGCTTGGCTCTCATCCATTGCCGCAGACTTGGTCGATAAGAGTCGCCTATGGCCTCCTGATCCTGCTCCTTCGCTCGCCGCCTCGTCCCTGTCACTGACGGACCACTCGTTCGTTTGCGTGTTCAGCGTCACATGCTCATCGTAGTGCAGGGCCAGCGAGTATCCCTTGTTGCCAGGATAGAGGTTCACCACGATCGTGTTGAGTTTCTCGCGCTCCACCAGCCGCTCCAGGGTAAACGATCGTGTGCGCTGCTTAAGCTGCAAATTGGGAGAAACAATTTACAATATATGTTATTAGGGGCTATCCACTCCTACACTTACCCCTGTCTCGGCAAAGTAGTTGATGTCGTTGCTTAGCAGCTGCATATAAAGATCCTTGAGTTTCTCGTGTAGATTGAAGAACTTCGTGCTGCCCGGTGGACACACCGAGGAGCCCTTCGTTGAGGACGAGGTGCTATTGTTGTTGTTGGAGGCAGCGCCGGCGCCAGCGCGCGCTGTTGACGACGACGATGAGGAGGATGGGGCTGAGGATAAAGCTGAGCTGCGACTAGAGGAGCTGCACTCCTTGCTGGTGCTGTTGCTATTGGACTTCTGCCTCTTACTGGGCGACGACGCGGGCGAGGCCCCATGGACCCCATGGTGGTTGTGTGACTGGTGGTGCAGGTGATGGTGATGCAGGTGATGGCCCCCGGAGGAGGAGGTTGAGTTGGCAGAGGCGGGCCGCTTCTCCGGTTTCTTACTGACCGTCGTCGTAGGGTTCGTCGTCGTCGTCGTCGACGTTGCAGCTGCGGCAGTCGAATTATTGCTTAGGCTGGAGTTGATGCCTGGCGGCGTAGACAGCAACAAGTCAGGAACTACTGGCGAGGGCGATGTGATTGAGTTGAAATTCGACAGAGTCGTTGTCGATGATGAGCATGATGAGGGCGACGGGGCAATCGCTGTGGGCAGGCCGGTGGGCGTGGCCGATGTCGGCTCAGTGAGTATGCCCAGGGAGCCCCCAATTGACGCCCCTCCCCCATCGGGCGGCGACTCATCGTCATCGAAGATGCAGATGGGCGGTTGGGCAGGAATCTGTGGTATGGCTTGCAGCAGGCTAGTCTCCAGATACGATTTACTGCTCGTCGGATAGCCAACAGTGACGACTGGGGATGACTGCTGCTGTTGCTGGAGCGCCGTGTGGAGGTGGTGGTAGGACTGCGTTTGCTGCGACTGCAGCTGATGACTACTGGGGGAGGAGGCTGGCTGGTACTGGACAAACTGCTGCTGCTGGTGGACGCCCGTGCCGTGGACCACGGCATGAGCTAGTCCCGGGGCATGGTCAGAGTTGTTGGAGCCCTTCAACTTCTTCAGCGTGTCATTTATGATAAACTATTTGCAGATAAACGATTCGAAGAGCAAAAGAGAGGGAGAATACGTTATTAGATTGGTCGATTAACCGACTGGTAATAGGCGCGAAAGGGTCTTACGTCGGCTTCTTGGCACGATGAGTCCAGGCTTTGCATTGTGCCAGCGGATTGCAAGAAGAGTCCCAACTGTGGATCCCGAGTCCAATTACCGACGACATTCAAGCCAGGATAGAGTTCGACTGAGTTCGATCGAAGGCCTGTTAAGGATCAGCGTTGCTCTCATTGCGCTTGCAGGTGTCTGCCCCTGTGAAATTACAACTACAGATCGCTTGTTGTTGTCTTTTATTTTCGCTCACGCCTCGGGGCTGCGCCCCCTACCGTAACACTCACTTGTTTGTGTATCATTTCAGTGTAGAACCATTATTGTTTTTTAAATGTCTTATTGTTGTGTTTTTTTAGTGCGCCTTTGAGCAGAAATGTAATTTCTTCACACTTTTTCTGCTGCTGCTGCTGCTGCTTTGGGTGACATTTTCTCTCTTCGCCCCTCTGCTGGACGACGGTCTTTTTGGCTCGTTTGCACAACAACAATACACAGCCACCACTTTTGCTTTAATTGATAGGCGAACGCAGGGGTTGTTCTTTAATAATATGCATAAGATTGCTTAATTTTAATTGTTTAAAAACTTTGTTTTAGGCTTTTTTTGCAATGTAAATGTACTGTGCGATCAGTGTGACCGCGGATTTATCTGACCCTCAGAAATATACCGAAATATTTTACATGTTTCTCATTTTCAAAATATACCGTAAATATACCAATGATTAAACGAACTTAGCCCACTTAGCCCCCCTCTATTTGAAAAGGTGAACAACATGAATTAAACCGCAATAGATCATACTGTTTATTAGATTTTCTTGTAGTTCCATCATATCCTAACTCCTTACTTACAAAAAACCACGATATCTTTCACCTGAAGTGCGCTAAAAATCTTCAAGATTCATAATTTTCGTGCAGTGTATGTTGTATACCCACCGGTCGACAACGGGTTAATCGTTCTCTGTCTATGATCGGAAATCAAATCTCTCGATATTGATATTCGTTTGAATTTACTGTACTATCAATGTGACCGCGGATCCATCTGACTCTCAGCAATATACCTTTCAAGTCAATTTCTCGTCAAAATATACCGAAAAGAATAAAGTACTACCGTATATGAAGTAGTATTAGATTTTGTTATCGAATAGAATATCGTTCGCTGTGAGTGCCACTCTTACCTACGCACACATTGTGCTCTCGAGCGCAACAAAGTATATACAGCGCCACCTGGCGTTTTCTTTTGCACGTCATCTTATCGAAAAATGCCAATCCCCACGCCAACAGCTGTTTTTTGCCGGGCTGATTCAAAATGAAATTCAGATACAAAGTTATTTGAAATTGGTATAATTATTATAATTTCCACTTTGACATTGGTAACATACAAAGCAGCTGCACCACCGTGTCCACCGTGTTTACCGTTGCCATTGTCCATGGCGTAATTGATTCGGATCTTGGTGATCGGGGCTAAAAACCCTATTTTAAGCGCCTTGGTTTCTTTAATGATCGGCAATCCGGCTCGCCGGTCTTTAAGATGTCTACCTGTATTGGCGGCTAGATCATCCGACCGCTGTACACGCAATATTTGAGACAAAAACAACATTCACATTTGGATTTGTAAGCAATAATATATATGTATATTATTTGTAGGATTTGCACTTAATCGTAATAGGTATATTATTAAGGATTAGTCTCTACCAACTAAGCATTAAGAATACAAAAAAATTTTGTCACTTGTACGTATACACAGTTTTCCATACACATAAATCATAGTATATCATATCATCGTATCATAAATCATATATCATCATATACATATATCCGTATATAACCGCTATCAATATTCAATATTCAATATTCAAAAAAATCATTATCAGAAACATATTGTAATTGTAATACACTCGCAGTTGAAGAATTTCCTTTCACATCGTCATGAGATCTTTAAACGTTAATTGTGTAGTTTGAAATATTTATAATAAAAAAAAAAAACAGCTCTTGAGTTGGATCTGGGTGAGGATCGGATCGGGATCGGGTTCAGGATCGGGGTGTAGTGGCTGCTCCTCCTCCTAATCCTTGTGGCCACCCTGAAGCTTCTTCCAGGTCTCGCCCAGCGCCTTGGCAAAGTGATCGTCGACGGAGGCTTCAGTCTTGGTGAATATCGAAATGTTCGTGGACGAGGTGGGCGAGGCGGGTGGCGTCTGCGTCGAGGATGCGGCCACAGCTGCCAATCCCGGCTCGGCCTTCACGCGTATGATCGCCGGCATCGTGGGGGTGCTGCTGGGATTGGGAATCTGCGTTGGAGTTGGCGTCGGGGTCGGTGTTGGTGTTGGAGTTGGAGTCGGCGTTGGCGTAGAGGCTGGGACGCTGCCGTACGCTGGCGGCGGTGGCGGAGTGTTGTACCTGGGCGGCGTGTGATGCAGTGTGTCCAGTGCTCGCTTGGCGGTCACCGGTGTGTCCAGTGCCTGGCTGGGAGCAGTTGCTGATGTTTGTGGTAGTTGTGGCGGCAGTAGCGGCAACGGTGACGGCGACGGTGGCGTCGGGGAACGATGCAGTGAGAGCGGCAGCGGTTCCTCCTGCGGCGGCGGTAACTCCAGCTGCGGCGACTCTGGCCCCGATCGCAGCGTGGGCGAGTGCATCATGGCCAGGCCAGGCTTCTGCAGTGGCGAGCGATGTTGCTGGTAGAGAAGAGGAGAAGCTGCTGCTCCTGCTCCTGCTCCTGCCCCAGCGCCTGCGCCTGCTCCTGCTGATGTCGATCCATAGGCCAGGGGCGATATCTGCTGCATAGGAGTTCCACTGGGCGAGGGCGTGGGTGTGGGTGTGGGCGTTGGCGACTTCTTAGCAAAGAGGGCCGCGTAGTCCTTGCCCAGCGAACGGCGGAAGTGCTCGTCAATGTCGCACATGGCCACGTTCTCTGCAATCAAATATTAATCAGTTGATATCTGTGGGAATCTGGGCAAAGAGCAGTGTCCTACCTGAGGAGTGGGCCGGCTCTGGGACCTCCCGCTTTGGCGGTGCCTGGGTGATGACGCTGGGTCGGCTGTTGGCCGCGTAGTTGGTCCCCGGCAGGGGCTCGCGGTAGGGCGGCGGCGGCGAGGCCCGATTCTGATGAAGCTTCAGTGCCCCCGATGTCACCGACATGTCAATGGGGCTGTCCATTTCACGGTCCTCCCGCTCCCGCTCCCTGTCGCTGCTGCCGACGCCGGCGTCGTGAACCTGGTACTCGGCGGTACGCTGGCGGCGCTCGCGCCTCCATTTGGTGGTTGGCAGCTCCTTTGATGTCACTCGCATCTCTGCAAGAAAAACAATGGGAAGAAGCTCAGTCAGAGAAGAGTCAGAGACCGCACGCCGGAGAACCCGTTTGCCATAGTTTTTCGGCATTTTCGAGTCGGCACCAAAATAATAAAAAGTATTAGCAACAAATATAATAATATAATAATAATAATAATAATACCGATGGCGGGCCACAGCCACAGCCACAGCCACAGCAACAGCAACATCAACAAATCGCATTTCAATTAAAGGCCATAAATTTGATTTGGCTTTTGTGGTCGATTTGGGCTTTTGTCTCGTATCTTAGTCTGGGCCTGAGCTTGGGTCTGGGTCTGGGCTGTGGGCTATGGTACGGGGTATGGGACTGGCATGGGTATGGGCATGGGTATGGGTATGGGTATGGGTATGAGTCCACTCCTCTGTGTGGTTTACGTGTCTATCGTCTTGGGTTTTGATTATGCGGTCGCCGTTGTCGAGAGTGGGCGTAATGAATCACATGGAGTTAAGGCGAGGCAAACTCTACAAAAGTTCCCCTGCCCGTGCCCCTCCACTGCCTCCTGCTGCCCGTCGCTCCTCCTGCCGTCCGTCACGTTCAAGTTTGTTGCCTAAGTCTTTCGCTTTTTTGAATGAACTTCTGCCAAAAGCTCTCCTCGGAGGGGGGGCAGCAGGCAGAAGGCGCGGTCAGAAGTGGGCAGGCAGCACAAAATTATGCACAAAGGCACAAGAAGACGTCGCCAGCAAAAAAAAAAAAAAACCAAAAAGAAAAAGAAAAACAACAATCGAAACTCCAAGTCACAAATACAAAAAAAAATTGGTTAAGAAAACCCGTTTCGTCTACGCTTATGCTGTGTGTGTGTGTGTGTGCGTGTAAGTACACTGAGCAAAATGCAGGCCACCATCTCTGGCCGAAACGTGCCTGGCGTGCGAATGGGGGGAATCGCCCGAGTTTCTGGCGTGGGAAGTCGCGTCAGCGTCGGAGCCCGGGTGCGTGGGCTACGCTGCGGTTCCCGGGAACTGGGATGGTGAACTAGTTCTGCGGAACCCAGGCTGGAGCTGGTTCCCTGACAGCTGGTACGGCGATTGGATCTTGCGTCTCTTCCCCCCTCGCTTCGAGTGCAACAGCACCGCGTACAGGAAACAAAGTTTATAAATAAAGCTGGTGGCTCCAGGCTCCAGCGCTCCAGCGCCCCAGAACCCAGTTTCTTCCCCATCGGGCGGCAGCATCCAAAATCGAAGGGGGCAAACCAGTCGGGCGGCTTCTGCACATTTCGAGCAGCGGAACAGCGGAGAGGCCGAGAGGCTGAGAGGCTGAGAGCCTGCCTGCCTGCCTGGTCGGACCCAAAGTCGGACCAACGCATGAATGAATGAATGAATGGCGATGGATGGATGGACGGACGTACGGACGGACGGTTGCATGGAGGCGGCGGCGGCAATGGAGATGGAGTTGGAGTTGCTTGTGTTATGGCGTTGGTGGTAGTGGTGGAGCAGTGGCGGAGGCGGAGGCGGGAGCGTTGTCCTGTTTTTGGCAACGTCACCGCGAGGCTGCAATTTATTATTTCTGCGCCTGCGTCACGAGAGGAACTCACAACACTAGCAAAAACAAAAAGGAAACACAGGGGAACCGCCAGAGGAAGAAGAAACTGGTCTTTGGAGAGTGGAGCATGGAGTGGAGACTGGGGTGCGGGGTGTAGCGTGCAGAGTGGAGAGTGGAGAGTGGAGAGTGTAGAGTGGAGCTGCAAACCAAAGAAAAACATAAAAAACGAACAGGAGAGTGAGGCAGCGGCTGCTTCGGATTGGGATTGGGATTGGACTTGGGCTTGGGCTTGGGCTGCTGCTGCGCTGCGGCGGATGATGATGGGGATGATGATAATAATAAAGAAACATTCAAATTTTATTGCACATTTCCGGTCGTCGGACGTCGCTGCTCCTCGCCACAGCCCCCCCCCTGCCCCTCGCCCCAGCCAGGCCACCGTTTGGCGGCTGTGTTGGGGGATCGACAGCAGCAGCAACGACGACGACGACGACGACGACGACGACAACGTCGGAGCTTTCTTTTTGAGGCTCTCCCTCTTCTCGTATTCTGCGCTGCCGCTCATCTTCTCTGTCCCACCTTCGCCGCTCCTGCTTCGGCTGCGGCTTCGGCTTCGGCTTCTGCTTCTTCTTGTTCTGCTTTGCATTATTTATTTGTTCTGCTTCTGCCGCTGCCGCTGCCCGCTGCCGGCTGCTCGGTGGGGGATTGGAGCTTTTGAATCATGTCTGACTCGGCTAATTGGCGATAAAGGGGGAATTCTAGTTGTCACAGCGCGATTGAAGGGTAATCTGTTGGTAGGGGTGTTTAATGGATCCCTCGGGGGGAAAGTTCTGATTTGGGGTCCCGGTTCTAGGAACCAAGGGGCAAGGGATCCGATGGTAAGTCTGTTAAGGTCTAGCGATCCCAAAGAGGCACTTGGGACAGGTATATTTCTGTTTGTTCAATGGTAAAGGAAGGGCAAATAAATCCTTGAGAAATCAATCTTTATTTATTTTCCCTAAGTGTACCTCGAATCAATCAAATTACGGTATATATCGCTATACAGCAGATCCTTGTGAAGGGTATGGGATCGCTATCTGAAAAGTTGAATTATAATTCCCTAAAGTCGTATTTTTTTGGAGGGCAATACTATCTACGGTATAGGTACAATGCCATGAATGATCTCTTCGAATTTTGTACGATTACCTCTCTAAGAATCAATTCGTAATCCCTCTATGATGGTAGATACCGGACCAAAAGAGATCTCCGGGAAAGACATTTGTCGCTGAAAAACTGCCTATCCCTATAGTAAAGGGGCACAGTGGCACGTTCTTCGTGGAAAAGATATTGATTCTGAAAAGGAAACCGGATCAATCGATAATCAGCTGATCGCCACTCCCCAGCCCCAAGTATCGCTTAAATTTCGAAACCTTTCTCGGTACGCCACTCAATATCCGCTATTCCAGTGGATAAAACCTAAAACCCTAAGCCCTGGTGCACTCCCCCCCTCCCCCTCGGCAGGGAAGGAAAGAGAACACGGGTCGAACACACACACGGCATGGATTGCACTAGAAATAGCAAAATAGCAACAAAAGCCACACACATTTCTTGCTTATGCAAACAAGTTGTTGTTGTTGTTGTGGTTGTTGTTGTTGCTGTTGCTTTTTGTAGTTTTTTTTTACATATTTATTTTTCCATCATCGTCGCCGTCGTCGCAGGCGTTTCTCATTATTTATATTATTTCTCGCGCCGGCTCGTGAGTCATGCCAGTAACCACGAATCCGTCCGCCCCCCAAGCCCCCCACCCCCTTTGGCACCACTCTCCGCCAGCCATTCACCGTTCTCCGGTGTGCCAGCAGCACGGCTCCCCTGCCTCCCCGTGCCACCCTCCTCCGCCCGGCACCACACCGCTGGCCGAGTTGATTGCAAATCTGGTTTTAATATGTCAACAAATTAACAAGAAAGAAGTCTAGCTTCTGGAGTCGCCGCAGATTCGGTTACCCTTCCAGATCTTTCAGATTCGATATATGTATACAGTGGGATTGATCGCCACCAGGCGACTTCTTTATGGGGAATTCGTATTCCCATTAAAAACGATAACGAAATACCTTTGAAGAATCGAATGTCGGATATCTGATTCGATAAACGGAAATGCCCCCTACACCCCCCCACACCTTCTCTGGACCAAGCACCATCGAAATCTGTATACCCTCTGGGGAGGGTATGAGCAAAGCAAAACACAGTCGAGCCGTGAGCCAAGTACAGCAGCCAGCCCCTTCTCGGAGCCCCTCCATTCTCTTCTGTGGCACTACCTCATCATCCAATTTTTTTTTTGTGTAGAGGTTTTATGTTTAAACAGGCGCTTGCACGCTCGTTTTTTTTTGCTTTTGCTTTTGTTTTTGTTTTTTTTTTTTGTTGCTCTTTCTTTTTGCAGTTTTTGTGTTTGTTTGGCGTCGCCATGTAATTGAAAGCATTTGTGTGATTTGTGCAATGTCGCCAATTACACAAGGGGGAAACGAGCGAGAGAGAGATAGAGAGGGAGAGGGAGAGAGAGAGAGAGAGGGAAGGCAATGCAATACGTCAATGGAGCCAATCGAAGCCCGTCTAATGCGGCCGGCTGGCTCGTGTGGAGCGTAGTAAAAGTGTTGCCAATTTCATTACCAATTTTCCAGCCCAGGCAAGCGAAATGGAAATGGTAACAGAGAACATCCCCCCCTCCCCCAGAGACGCCATCGTCAACGGCAAGTGGCGTAACCGATTGCGGGGTTTGTTGCCAACCCCACAGTCGGCACGTCCTAGCCACGCTTTGGCTTTACAGCCAAGATAAACGTAATCAGAACGCACTGGACCCGACTCCGAGTCCGAATCCAATCCAATCCGATCCCATTCATTGAAGGAGTGCTCATCGTGATCAGAGGCAAACGGCACGTACCCCGCGATCCAATGAACTTTAGCCCGACTGGGGCCCGAGTGGGTGGCGAGTGGGTGGTGAGTGTGCGTTTCACGTGACCAACAGGTGCATCTGCATGCATGCACTGATGCTCCTCCACCCAGTAGTCAACCGAACGTGAGATAGCAGAAGGGGGATCTACCCATGGAATGATACTATGGATGGTGCCACAACCAGAGGTAGGAAAGAACTTCCTTCTTGGGATCGTTGACTCAATTGGACTCCCTCTGGAACTATCCTCATTTTGTGGTCTTTCCGCTTGCCTTTCTGTAGATCAAACTGCTAGGATTCCATGCCCCTATCCTCTCAAATATCGCTTAAAATTATTCTCTTCTGGACTGCATCTTTCAAGTGGCGTTGCAATTACTGCACCCTCAAGTGGCCCGTGTCCTTATTATTATATTATATCGTTATATTTCCCCTATATCTTGCTTTGTCTTCGAATTGGAAGTAATCTTTTTCCCTTCAATCCTTGGAATATTATTTCCTCAACAGCAGATATAGTAATCCTTCTTTGACGTCGCATCTTGACCAAGAAAGATAGCTACTTTCCAGCATTATGACACTACTGTACTTGTGCCCTGCCCTCGGAGCATATTCCACCTTCTCTTGCGAGTTCCAAGAACAATCTTTCCCCATTTTCAGTACATGACATATTCGCTAATAGCTCCCTCACTCTCTCCGTCCGTCCCTCGTTTGGAGGTCAGTTGAAAAGTTTTCGCAAGATTTTCTTCATAAATTTCCCCGACAGACGAACCTTTGTGCAACTGCTGTTGCTGCTGCTTGTAGAGCTGATGGTGCATCGCGGCCGCCTGCTGGAGGTCTCGCCAGGGCTGCCAGAGCAGGCTGTTGGCCATATTGGAGGCACTGGGATCCGCGGATGTCTGGGGCTGGGGTTGGGGCTGCTGTGGCTGATTAGCGGCTACCGCCTGTAGCTGATGTTGTTGCTGCTGCTGCTGCTGATGGTGCTGCTGCAGCTGCTCCAGTTGCTGGCGATGATGCTGCTGCTGATAGAACATCCCGGACTGGGCAGGAAACTCCCCCTGTCCATGTCCCTGTCCCTGGCCCTGGCCCTGCCCCTGGCCATGATAAGCGGCAAGCCTTTGAGTGGCCGCCAGGGCGGCTGCGGCCTGGGCCACTTCCCTGGCTGTCGATGTGGGAGAGCTGGCCGTGGATGAGGAAGCCGAAGAGGCGGACGGGTCGCTCGACGAGGAGGATGCTGAGGGGGAGGAGGCAGTGGATGATGCGGCAGCTGCTGCTGCAGCGGCCAGGCGCTCGATTTCCTTAATGCGGTTGTAGTAGTTCTGCTCGAAGGCATTCAGTATGAAAACGGCTCCATGGTATTCCATGGCTCCCAGAAGATGATGCTTCATAATCTCGATGATCGCCGATCACTGATCGCTGATCTCCTGATTCTCCACGGAACTTCACTTCACAAAGATCGAGAGAGAAAGAGAGAGAGACGCAAATCAGACAGTTCGCGTATAGCTCTATCTATCAGAGAACTCCTCGACGAGGTGGATGAGGAGACGAGCCTGAGGAGCGGCAAACTTTTGTATTTATTTATTTTTCTTTCCCTTTAGTTAACGATTACTTTTGGCGCTTTGCCGCCGCCTGCGCCTGCGCCTCTGCCTCTGACTCTGACTCTGCCTCCGATACCGATACCGATACAGATACAGATACCGCCGCACTAATGTACAAGTACACACACCAAACGGGCCGCGGGTCGCGACTGTAGATACAGATACAATCTGTTTTCTGTTTGTCTGTTTTTCTGTGCTTCTCCGCTTTTTATTTTTTTTTTCTGTTTTTTCTGTCTTATTTCTTATTATTTTTTCTCCTCAGTCGTGGACGGCGACTCGGGTTACAGTCTCTCGATCTGGCTCTAGCTCTGTCTCTGGATCTGACGACGTGAGTCTCAAGTCGACATTTAGCGGAATAAAAATAGCACGCTCTTTTTTCCTTCTGCCTCTGCCTCTGCCTCTGACGCTGACGCTGACTCTGACGCTGACTCTGTCTCCGACTCCGAGTCCGACTCCGTATTATATATTTATGTGTTTCTTTTCCGAGTAATAATTTGCATAGAAATCGACAAATCGCTGACTGAACTTGAGCGCCAGTTTTCGCTTTCAGAGACACACACACACACTGACTCGGAAACAGCAAAAAAAAAACAACACGTAGATATATGTATGTATGTATATATTTGTATCTGAACGAACGCTCTCATATGGCGCGACCGACGCGACGCACGTTTCGCTGGCGACGACCACAACAACTGGCGGCTTCGACGGGCAAACTGGAAGTGATCGACACAGCGACTTGCGACTTGCGACTTGAAGATTGCGACTGAGGCTCGCTTTTGGGGGCTTTCAAAGCTTCGCCTTCGTCTGGCTCTTCGTTTCGTTTGCGTTCGTTCGTTCGTTCGTTCGGTTTGCGCGCGCACGCTCTCCACCCGAGGATTGCTGCTGCGGCGGCGGCAGCGGTGCCGAGCGACTTCGTTTGGGCCTTAAAAGCCATTTGCACTTGCGCCAGTTGTTGTTTTTGTGTTTTTTCTTTGACTTCTTCTTCTCTTACCAATTTCCGTTTTGGCTATTGTTCCCTCACCCCACCACCACCATCTCTCTCGTTCTCCCTCTCTCTCCCCCTCTCTCTCTTTCACCAAACATTTGCTTTCTTTGGTGATTTTGTAATTGAAAAACAAGAAACGAAGGCTCGCTTTTGGGGGCCGAAGGTTCGGATACCCTTGCAGATCGATCGTTCTTATAGCGATTATGATAACAGGACAAACAGTTTGCTGCAAAAGGCAATAAAGGACTAAAATAACAGCTAAAAGGTGTGTCATAGATGGACACGTCTATATCAGATCAGATATATGGGGGCTCCAATGCGAGCTTCTTTTCTGGGGCTACAAACGTCTGAACAAAACCATCATACACCCTGTAAAAGGTATAACGACTGCATACATCTGAAAAAGGGTCTAAGCTGGGAACGCCTCTACGTAGGATGTGACTGACACGCCCCCTCGCCCAGCCACTCCACTTCTTTGGGCCACTCTCCCCATTGATGTGCTTGGCAAATTGGGCAAAAGGGTAACGAAATGGCAGCAATTGGAAATTGGCCACAGTCCGGAGTTGGATTCAAAGTCGGGCCTGAATCTTTGCCTGCTTTCGGCCTGTGACTGGGACTGCGATGGGGACTGGGGACTGCTGACTGGGTTGGGCCCTCCCGGGTCTAACCAACACATGGTGTGGGCGTTCTTTAACGTTTCTTTCTGCTTTTCTGCTGGTTACTTTTGTTGTTGTTTTGTTTTTTTGGGCCCGGTCATTGCATTGGGGCTCATTATAATGTTTACTCACAGTTTTGCCACAAACAGGCAAACAAATGCACAGACAGGGGCACGTGTGTATGACTCTGTGTATCTGTGTAACTGCGTGAAAAGCGTAGCTGTATCTGCGTGTGTGTGCGTGTGTGGAGTGCAAGCGAGCTTGCGAAAATGACAGCACAACGAGAAAAGGAAGGTTAGATGCGGCTCCAGCCGATGGTGGGAGTACCCTAACTGTGGAAGGAACTACTCTAAAATTATCACTGAATGGTAGATCGTTTGCGCCTCGAGAGAAACAATCCTGTCTGCCCATTCTACAAAATTGAGCAACAGAGGAAGCTACTGCTACTTGTGCTTTAACAGTGAACGGCACTGGGACATCTTGGTTGTAAATCCCACTTTCCTATTCTGAACCACCGAATGTACGACTCAAGCATTGTTTGTTCTACCTAAAACACGGGCTTGTCCCATTGACCCCCCATCCCATTGCCAAGGGAATGCTCGAGAGTGCCCGAGAAAGTTAAAACCAAATACATGTCGTGTGAATGACGAGGAACTGATGCTCGAATGGAGTTTCTGTGATAAGGTTTGATTCAGATACAAAAAGCCTGCCCATCGCTGACATTTTTTCAGTGGTCTTCCTTCGAAGGTTTTTTTTAAAAATATTGTATTTGAAAGTAGAAAGTTGTATTCCAAGTGGATTCCTCGAGATAAATATGTTCCCAGGAATCCGCAGACCTAATGCTTTTCCAGATGCACTCCTAGAATAAAGCTGTAGCCCCCGTTTCAGGGCTTATTGGGCAGCTTAATGAAGCTCTTTAGATAGCCAATATGCCCGCTTCTAATGGGGCAGGCAACATAATGAAGCAAACAATAGGTCGACGGTACTACACGTTTGTGGCTGCTTTGGGGCTTGGCTTAGTTCGGACTATCCGTCTGTCTGTCCGTCTGTCCGCCTGGTGGGCTGCTCTGACAGGAGCAGCCACAGCAGTTACCATTGCTGCAACTGCAGCTAGAAAACGGCAACATGCAGCCGCGCACAGCACAGCACAGAAGCGGCAGCAGCAGAAAGCAGCGGCAGCAGCAGCAGAAAACAACAGCAACAACCCAAAGCAAACTCGTTTTTAATTCAATACCAGGCCCATGAAATTTTACGCTCGATTTGTAGTACAACTACTACTGTTGTTGCCCCATGAATTGCAACTGCAACTGCAACAGCAACAGCAACATCGGTAGCAGCAGCAGCAGAGAGAGAGGAGAGTCTGTTGTGGCATAGAACGATCGGATCGATTCCAGGCCTCGTAGCACGAGTGTTATGTTGCCATCACATCATATGGCCCGCCCCGACTTATGGCCTGGCCTCTCCTCTTGCCACATGGCATCCACCTTATCGATGGATCCATCGATTGATCGATATTTTGTTGGCTGCTGCTGCTGCCGCTTATTGTTTTCTCTTCCTCTCTTCTTTTCGAGTCTTTTTTCTAGTCATTTGCTAATCCATGTCAAAAAATGTGCAATTTTTGTTGCGTGGCACCAAGGGGCCAAAAATCGAACAACAAAAAAACAACGAAAAAATTCAACAAAATCAAACTTAAATTATGGACTGACTGACGGATTGACTGCTCCTCTGTCTGGCATGCCCCCCGCTCAGGGGGGGGGGGGGAGGAGGCGCTTACTCATCATCAGCCGACGCCGCTCCGTGCCCGGCTGCACCGCTCGGGCTCTGAGCTGCGAAAATTTGTAGTGTAGCGTGAAACATGCGCACGCATGCGCAACGAGGTCAATCGAATGGCAATCATGGCAGCACCAACAAAAAACTACGAAAAAACAGCGACAGCGACAGCAACAACGACAACAGCAGCGGCAGCAGGCAGCAGGCTTTGGGCAGAAGACTCTTCTGCCGCCGCCTGGCCAACAACAATGGCAACAAATTACAGAAACCCAAACATTGTAGACCAAAGCCAAGAAAAAAGAGGCACAAAAACGAGTCGGAAAGTGGGCAAAGCATAGCTGGTTTTGGGGGACAAAAGGTAGAACCCAAATGAAGGAGATCCCCTAATGATCTGGCAGAAGAGTTGCTAAAATGAAATGGAGGTGGAAGTGGAAGTGGCAGTACCCTATAAAAGAGCGGCTCACAGGCTTTTGCCTTGTCATGCATACGACATGTACATGTCTCTGGGGAGCAATGCCAGCCACTGCTCTGAAGCATAAAGCATATCTATGGTTATCCTTTCAATCCTTTGTGTACCTCCAAGTAAAGAGTTGCCTAAAGACTTAACTTAGGGAAAAGAACAAATTAGGCAATAAATGGAAAGGTTTCCCCATCCCATATCTCCCAATCTCTCGATCTTCTTCTGCTTTGATCCATTTAGTCCACAAGCTAAGACAGAAATTAAATAGTTCACCATGGATTCAGCTTACAGCCAACGTAATAGAAGCCGAAAAAGAAAATGAAATAGGAATAGAAATAGAAATAAAAATCCAATTCAAAATACAAGTAAAAACCCGGAAAATGCTTTGCTAATTGAAATTTGTTTTGTTTGGAAATCGGCACAGAAATTCGAGATCCCTCGCTTGGGAGGCGGGTAGTAGGGGAGGGGGTAGGGGGGAGATCTGGGTCAGTGTAATGCCAGCAGCGGTACGGAAGTCAACAAGATTGCTCTTCTTTGTGGGAGATCTCCTCTGCTTCTGTATAGATCGTCTCGGCGGCGATCACACAGAGCTGGCCGGCGATTTCCAGAACATGTCGATACCAAAAGACAAATTATGTTGTGTCTCCATCTCCCATCTCCATCCCCATTCTGTTGTTTTGTTGTTGTTTTTTTTTTGTGAAATCTAACAATCTAATATATGTATATCTGTGGCTAGTGGGTACATAATATATACGCGGCGGAGACAACACAAATCAGCGGCAAACCAGTTCAAAATTTAAATAAAACTCGAGCGTGCGCGCGATTTGAGGAGGAAACTGGTTTTCGATTGCCCAGAATAGCAACAAAAACAAAAATAAAACCAACAAAAAAAAAAACATCAGCAACAACAGCAGCGATGGAAAATAGCAAAAAGCTAACAATAACATAAATATAGTTGTCATTATAAAATATCATCCGGTGCTAAATCAAGCGTGAGAAAACTTTTAATACACAATTTTGCCAAATTTCCAGTCGGATTGGATCCGATCCGATCGGATCGAACCTGAGCGGATTTGAAAATTATGGATGGCGATTGGCGCTTGGCGATTGGCTTTACTTCTAATTCTGACTCACACACAGGCACACACACACACACAGAGGCAGTGTCTAATCCTAATCCAAGACAACTTTCATTTAGATATTGTCCGCAACAAGTTGATCTTGCCCCTGCCGCCGCACTCGAAACAGCGCGCTCCGTTCGACGCGACTCTGCTCGCGGCAAAAGTCGCGCAGAGTGAAAATTTATGGCAAATAGGCAAATGTTATGTTAAAATAAATAAATAAATGGCAGCCAGCACAGCAGCAGCAGCAGCAGCAACAGCAACAGCAGCAACACTAAAAAGAAAGGTAATGCTCTAGTCCCAACTCTAATCCCCAACCCAGTCACAGTCACAATCCCCTACCACGACCCCATCCCCATCCCCATCTCCATTTCCATTTCCATTCCCATCTCATTGCAGGCAGCAAACTGGTTTTGTTGTTTGGATTTTCTTCTGGTCGAGATTTGCGGCAATTATGCGCACCGTTTGGCCATTGCCAGTAAAAGGAAGAGAGTGTTTGGCCCACAGAGTTGGCACTGGCTAAAACGGAGAATTGAAAGGCCATGTAAATTACCCGATGAGCCGTCGACCAGGCCGTAAGTATCGCCATCGCCATCCCCATCCCATTCTGTTTCAGCGGCTGCTGAATCTCCAGCTGTGCCTGGCCCAAGCTCCAAATTGCCACAATATTTCTTTGTGTGGTGCACAGACACACACATAGACACTGGGGCAGGGGCAGTGGCAGTGGCA